GAGTGAGCTGCAGATTGACTTACCAGTTTCCCTTCCCCCAGCTCCTCTATGGGATCAGTGTGCTCTGAATTTTTTTGCATTCATTCTCCAGCCAGATAAATCCATCATCCGCTCGGCTGTGGCAAAGGCAATTCTGTTCCTTTCTTTCTGCCGCAGCCCTGCAGGGCATGTGGCTTTGCAGACGGTTGAATTGCACTGAATTCCTGTGAGTGCCTCCTTCCCCCCACGCTTCCAGCTTGCTCCAGGGACCCAGAGCAGCGCAGCGATGATGGGGTGCACAGGCTGTGTGCTCGGCAGGGACGCGTGGTGCCCTCTGCTGTCACCGCAGCCTCCCATCGCACCTCACCTCCCTCTGTCACCTACAGAGCACTCTCCACACTCTCAGCTCTGCTTCCACCAGCAGGACAGTTCTGCCCGGCATCTCTGCCAGCAGGGAGTACCTCTTTTCTTTCTATTCCAGCCCTCAAGCTGGTAGAGCTGAGCCAGATCTGGGAGCCAGGGCGGTGGCGTTCCCCGCACTGCCTCTGGACTTGCAGCTGGTGCTGTGGGGCAATGAGGAAGCTGCTACAGCCCCACAGCTCTAGCAGCTTGCTGGAAATCTAATAGAGCAGGTTCCAGCCCCGGGAGATCCAGATGAGTGGAGAAAGAGTAGTCAGTCATGCTTCAGTGATAATAAAAAACCAAGAGCTCAATAAGAGAGAGAGCCTCTGGCTGAATGGTACCATGTATCCCTGGAATGGGGCACAGAGATAGCCTCAGTGTTGGGGTTGTACACGGACTTACAACAGCCCTGAGAGGCTTCTGTTTTTATAGTAAAACTTGGGCACAGATCCAAAAGAATTTACCTCTCCATCAATTACAAACCTCTGGGATTTCTGCTCCAGTACTGAAGAGGGAAGGCAGTCAGGCAGCAGAGGTTCACAGAGGTGGAATTCTAGTACCCAATTTTTGAAATATCTCTGTCAAAGAGCCTGAGATGTGTTTAGGAGTTCTAATGCTGCTATCTGAGATTTATTCCCAATCTCAGCCACCTAGGATACTGCCATAGGGCTGATATCAGCTGCCTTGAAGGGAAAAGGGAAAGGGAGAGGGAAGAGAAAGGGGAAGGGAAAGATATGGTAAAGACAAGGGAAAGGCCAGCACAAACACTTGCAGAAACAAAGCTGAACAGGCTGAGCTAAGAGTTATATACCAGGTATAATATGAGAGTTAAATACCAGGGTATTTACCTGTACTATTGCAGTGGCTGCCAGGAGTCAGGGCCATGTTTGGGACCATACAGAGAGAGATGCTGGCCTGAACTGTGAGGAATTATTAGCATAAGGAAAGAGATGATGGATACAGATGGATGAGCACATAAAATCAATAAATAATTATCTCTGCTTTATTTCTGTATATAATTCTCCTCAATTAACACCATCTTTGTTCAGCCTGGAAAAGGCTCTGGGGAGACCTTACAGCACCTTCCAGTATCTGAACAGGATTGTAGAAAGTCAGCGATGGACTTTTTACAAGGATATGCAGGGACAGGACAAAGGGGAATGGCTTTAAACTGAAATAGGGTCAATTTAGGTTAGATACAAGGAAGTAATTCTTTACTGTGAGGGTGGTGAGGATGGGTAACCTAGAGAAGCTGCGGATGCTCCAAACCTGGAAGAGCAGGCTGGATGAGGCTTTGAGCAACTCGATCTTGTGAAAAATATCCCTGTCCACGGCTGGAATTGGATGAGCTTTAAATTCCCAACGCAAACGATTCCGGAATTCCAGGACCGCGCGCTTAAACTCCGTCTTCTACTGCCCTCTTGTGGAGGCTCGGCAGAATGCAGCGCCCCGGCCCCGGCCCCGGCCCCGGCCCCGGCCCCGGCCCCGGCCCCGGCCCCGGCCCCGGCCCCGGCCCCGGCCCCGGCCCCGGCCCCGGCCCCGGTGTCGTCCATCAGCGCTGCCAAAAGAAATAAAGCATCCCTCCCCTAGTCCTGCTCACTCCCCTGGAGTTTGAATCCCCCTTTCCATGCTGGACCTGCCGGGCAGCCAGCCGCTGCACAGGCTCGGTGGCGGCCTTGCCCCTGAGTGCCAGCCTGTCTCCGAGGCTGGGCTCTGAGGGGCGAACAGCCCAGCAGGACGGACATGGGCATGGGCACTGCCAGCAGTGCAGGGGGGGTGGGTATACAGCAGGCACAAAGCAGTGTGGGGCAGCTCTGTGTGCGCCTCTCCAAACTCCATCCGTGCCACATTGCAGGCCTTGGACCACGGATTGCTATCGCTTCAGCTGAACTGCCCAGAACTGCCCCACTGTTTAAAAAAAAAAAAAAAAAAATCCGTCAGGAGGAGGAAACCGTGCTCCGGGAAAATACAGTGTTTATTTTGCAAGTGCAGCTGAGCAAGTCAATAGGAAATAGATGTCGTGGCTACACAGCTGCTTTTCTGGGGCAAGTGGAGCTGTCAGTCCAGCCCAGCTGCTTTCAAAAGTGACAACTGCAGTAACCAGAGAGGCGGTGACCTCAAAGGCAAGCAGGTCCTGACAGGGAGGGGAGAAACCTAAATATGTGTGTCAAATGAGAGCAGTGTGTCAAAACCCTGTTGTGAGGACAGCCAGCTTTACTAAACATTAAAAACCCACCCAAGAAAGGTAGACAGGGAAAGCAAGTGAGGGAATAAGGTGGGAAAGATTAACACCCGGGCAATGATCCATTTGTGGTAATTTTTCCACCACCCTGTGTCTAACGCAAGTAAGTTGGTGAGGGCTCATGCTGGCCTCAGTCTTTGGGGTGAAAAATAGGCTCTTGCGCAGAAGGATGCTTGGGAAGACCTCACTTCATGAAATGCCTGCCCCGAAGGCTGCCAGGCAGCCATCCTGCCTGGCCAAATCAAACAGGAGGAGAGAAAGGCTGGCTCCGGCTCGTTGCTCAGCTCTTGCCTTTTTGTGAGGTTTCTTCACATGCCAGCAGGTCTGGGCTGCTGGGAGACAAGCCAGAGGAGCTGGGGGTCACAAAATCATAGAATGGCTTGAGTTGGATGGGATGTTAAAGATCATCTTGTCACAACCCCCTGAGACACCATGGGCTGAGACACCTTCCACTGATTACAGTTACTCAAGGCCTCATCCAGCCTGGCTTGAACACCTAAGGGATTTGACATCCAGAGCTTCTCTGGGCAACCCGTTCCAGTGCCTCACCACCACTATGGGTAAGAATGCTTTCCTAATAGCCAGTCTAAAGCTACCTTCCTTCAGCTTAAGGCCATTCCCCCTCGAGCTACCACTGTATGTCCTGGTGAAAAGCCCCTCTCCAACTCTATTGTGGGCTCCCTTTAGGTACTGTAAGGTGCTCTAAGGTTTTGCTGGAACCTTCTCCAAGATGAACAGCCCCAATTCTCTCAGCCTGTCCCCACTGAAAACTTGTTCCAGCCCTGCAATCAGCTTAGTGGCTCTCCTCTGGACTCGTTCCAACAGGTCTTCCTTGCACTGGGGGCCACAGAGCCGGACACAGTACTCCAGGGAGGGGCCTCACAAGACCAGAGTAGAAGTTAAACTTTTTAACTTTCATCCTAAAACAATGTATTTATCTAGAGGCAAACAGGAAAAGGCAACTACATTGCCTTTAGATGAGCACAAAAAGCAAGAGCTCAAAGACGTGGCAAGGAAAAACAGCAGACCTAAAAGCCACAAGCTCACAAAGATGAGGACCAGCCACTCTGCCCAGGTGAGCAGCCTGTCCAGATCCTGAGGCTATGCTAAGCCAGACAATCCCATGGGAGAAAATTCTCTAAGAATAGTGTTGCTGTTATCAGTCATCATGATCCCACTTATGGGGCCCAAAAGCATCTTCACAGCTCCTGGTCCTAAAAATGTTCAGATGATGTCAGCAATAGTTGTCTCAGCCTGCAGTAACCATCAGAAGGCCAAGTCAGAGCATCAAAGATGCTGCAAAACAGCAAACTGGCTCCCCCTCTTCTTGGCGTTTTCTTCCTATGGAAAACTGCTTTGGTTACCTCACATCAGGCTGTGTCCCGTGGTGTGTTGAAAAACACATCTTCCTCTTCATCTCCACCTCCTCCTAAGTGCAGCCCCTCCTGACCCTGCACACAGCCAGGCCCTCCCCTTCCTGCTGGTGCTTCCAAGTGTCCCCACTGTGAATCATCTGGCAAGCCCCGAGACAAAGTTATCCATGAATTGACTGAACTCAAAATGAAACTCAGACCCCACCCCGGGCCGTGCTGAGCTGTGGCCAGGCTCCACACCAGTGCTGGTTCCAGCCAGTCCAGTCTGTGTAATTCAGAGAAACTTTCTGCCTGAGGCTCTTTGGTTTTCAGCAGAGCAGCACAGGGCTGGGCTGCCTGCACAGAGCTCAGGGCCCGGGCACTCAGAGCTTCTCCCAGCACACCACAGCCACCCAAACAGGGCAGAGCAGCTCCTCTCCCCACCAGGGTGAGCCCAGGGACTCCCTCAGGCTGGGCTATCTCAGCTCTGGCCCAAAGCCAGCATGCAAGGGCTGGAAACAGAGATGCTCTTGGCCAGGGAGCGCCTGGATGGGGTTACAGACCCCGCTGCCCTGAATCATCCCACAGGGCAGGGACAACAGCAGCCCCCCCAGCCCAGGCTCTGAGAAGAGCAGCAGGCAGTCATCTTCCCTGAGCAATTCTGGCAAGTGCACTGGATTCCAGGAAATATAAATAACTACTCAGCCATCTGGAACTGGCCCTGGGCGGGTTAGCAAAGGTTTCTCCCAGGCTCTGCCCTGTTCCCGCTGGCTACTCGGTGCCAATGCAGAAAGTAGCAAAGGGGTGGCACAGTCCCCACCAGGATCCAGAGCAAACTCGAGTCTTGCTCCAGCCAGAGACCTCTCAATGCTGAAAGAGGTCCTGCCTTCAATACAGGGCCAGAGCCACACCAAGCCAAGAGTTCACACCAGGACTCGGGATGCTCAGCCCCTTCCCCAGGCACCAGCCAGGCTTCAAGGTGCTTAAGGAGAAAATCAGGCAAGAACAGACCTCTCACTCCATCATACATCACTTTTCTTCATTTTATTCTTTTATTTGTACAGCTATATTTTACAGAACGCATTAATGCAGTTTAGACACAGCCCAAACCCTGTCTCCCGAGATTGTTTATAACACAAGCATGTAAAGTAAGACAAAAAAAAAATCCAAAACAAAAAAAAAAATAAAACATTCCCCCACTTAAGAGTTCCACCAAAACTCCTTTTGCAACATCAGGCTGTACCTTGAAAAAACTGAGCTCAATATAGTCCATACACTGAAAACTTCCATTGAAAAGAAAGGCACCGTGCGAAACCACATTTTACATATATACAGACTGAGAACTAGAACAAAAAAATTACATTTTATTATTATTTTAAATTCCTTCTGCAGCTTTGTTGGTTTAATACACACTGTTTTGTAAATTGTAAACCTTCACTTGCAAAAAAATACAAATACACTGATGCATTTAGACAAAATATTTTCTTACTTGTACAGATGCAATACTTTAAAATATCTCCTTAAGTGCTCTATCATAATAAAGATTCTCAGAGTGGCTTCTGCCTGCAGAGTCCAACTGAGCCTTTAATGCATTTTATATATTTTTAATATAGCTTTTTTAAAGGTCTATATATATTTATTTTATATATATATTTATATATTTATATCTATATATATTTACAACTCTGCCATAGATTCCTTCACCTTTGGTTAAAAAAGTTAAAGCCCTCTCTTTAATAGCATACTTTCTCTTTAAAAGAACACACATTTTGCATACAAAAGAAAAAAATCTGTTCCCATGAATCAACATTACATTCCTCATCTTCAAACGGCAAAGGCTGTGAAGGTTAGACTCCAGAGTTTATCAACACTCCACTGCACAGACACTTAAAATGACTATTTTAAATTTTATGTTTTATATACAGTAAGATCTGAATAATTTTATTTTTTCTTTTTGTTTCACATAACTGGGAAAAATAAAACCCGTGTATTTGTAATTTTTTTTTTTTAATTTCTAATGTTTTTCCACCTATCTGTACTATGGGTTTAGAGGCACTCCATCATGTGATGAATATTTTTTTCTCTCTTCTTTTTGTTTTTTTTTTTTTGTTTTTTTCTCTTTTAAAGTGTTGCAAGTATCCTTTGGACAGCTTTTCCCTGCCATGCCCCCCAAGCCAACCTCCTCCTGGGAAATCCTGTGCCTTCAGCAGGCCTTGGGGAGCTCCGGAGGCACCTCGCTGCCCGAGATGCGGTACTGCACCTTGGTGTTGGTGATGGCCCCGTGCTTCTGGCGCAGGTGGAGCCGCAGCTGGCTTTTGTGGCGGAAATGCAGGTTGCACTTCTCACACTGTGGGGCGACAGGCAAAGAGGGAGGGTGTCAAATGCCATGCCCTCCCCTCAGGGCACACTCCACCAGCGGCCCCAGGACACTGCACCCACTATACAGCTGGACAAGGGGAAAAGTGGGAACATGGTGGGAGGAGCAGCACCTGGGGGCACCCCATCCCCGGCTTTCAGCAGCATATATTGGTTTATGGGATGCACAGAGGGCAAAGTCCCTCAGGACATGACTCTGGCTCTGATAGACACAGCATCAAGCTCCATAGCTAGGTGATCAAAACAACTATGGAGTTATTTCTGAAGCTGTTTTTGACCTCTGCCAGGCTGAATGGCTCCAGGATGTTTGCATGTCAACCCCCTTCTTGGATTCCCTTTCTAGCAGATGGTGAAAGCCAGGAAAGCCCCCGCAAAGAGCTGGGAGCCCACAGGGCTGCAAGCAAGGCAGGGCAGACTGCTTGCTGGGTGTGATTATCACCATCAGAGGGGAGCTCAGGCCAGGCTGTCTGCTCCTCTTCCCCATCCCCACACACTGCAGGCAGCTGTAATTTAAGCCACAGCTATTTGAAGAAGTGTGACCTTCTTCCAGATGGAGTGGAAGAAAAGAGCAACTAAGATGTACCCAGCCTGGGCTGCATGTCAGTGTTTCCAACACAGCCACGCCTGAAAAAATACCACATCAGCATCAGCTAATGCCTGGGAGGGAAATGGGGCACGAGAAACAGGGATGTGACCTTGGTGCAGGGCCTCATGAGGCTGGCAAAGGGCATTAGGATGCTGCAACCAGCTTGTGCGAATGCTCTTTTGTCTTCACAGCCCCTCAGGCTTGGCAGCATTGTCCCCCAGCCCAAGCTGAGATTCCCCACCACCAATAAAAGCAGGGCCACTCACATGATACGGTTTCTCTCCTGTGTGGATTCGAAGGTGACTTTTGAGGGTCTGCAGGTGCCGGAAGCGTGTGCCGCAGATCTCACAGGGGTACGGCTTCTCCCCGGTGTGAATGAGCACGTGAGCACGGAGGTGAGCCACCTGCAGAGAGCAGCTCTGGCTCAGAAACAGCCCCAGGGAGGACAGCATCCCACTGGGAGCAGGGGTAATCCTTGGGAATGGGGTTCTGCCCAGACTGCTTTTTTGATCTATTGGGTTTTAGCTGGGAGTCAGGGCCGTGTGTCTGAGCTTTGGTATCTCCAGTCCTTAAGACAAAACGGAGCAGAATAGCCACAACCAGCCATCAGGTTAATTTGGTTACTAAGCCAAACTGTCCCCCTCAGACCTTAAGGTCCATATTTATCCCACAACACCACAGGAAGAGCTGCCCAAGACAACAAGTTGGCCCATCATCACCCTCCTCTCTGCCATGAGGCATCACCAGTCTTGCTGGTGAAGATCTGCCAGTCTTTGGCAGAAGATCTAACCACATCCCACCTCCCCAGGCACTGTGGGTCCCAGAGGCTACACACACCTGGACAAATCTGGCCCCGCAGGTCTCACACTTGTAGGGTTTCTCCCCAGAGTGGATGCGCGTGTGGGTTTTCAGGTTGGCTGGTCGGTTGAACTGTGCCCCGCAGATGTTGCAGCGGTACGGCTTCTCTCCTGCAGAGCCCAAAAGAAAGGGATTAGCTACAGGTGTGCTCAGCACCCAGGATCCATGGTGCTCCCCAGAGTTCGGTCCCTTCAGGTGCCAGACCCCATGGCATGAAGCACAGGCCCTGACTCCTGTCCCTTTTGGAGATGGCTGTGGACAAGCAGCATTGGGCAGGGTGTCGACAGGGCAGGGTGAGCTCAGGTGGCAGCTTTTGTCTTTTGGATTGGGAGCTGCAGCCTTCAGGGCAAGAGAGGATGTCAGGCAGCCCTGCCAGCAAGGATTAACAGCATCGTTCCTCCTGACCCTGTGACAGCAGCTGGCACCTGCATCTCCCTACAAGCTGTCAATAGGCACCCTTGAACAGTGCCCTAGTACTTGTGTTGTCTCAGTCCCCTGCACAGCCCTCCTAGAGGTCAGCTGAGACTGCAGGAATTTGGGTCTAATTCAGTGCAGCAGCACAGAGCTGTCAGCCCAGACTTCCCTTCCCCAGCTTGTGACCTGGCTATTGACATGTTAAGCATTAAAAGCATGAAATAAAATAAGCTCTAGGTCTGTCAGCAAATCACTAAACCCTTAATATCCTCTTCCTTTCTCAGCTCTCATTGTGCTGATTCACAGAGTCCATCCATTCACGGATTTTCCCATCAGCAGAGTTTATGCCAAGCTAGATGCGACCTGGATTTCCAGAATGTAAAAATAAACCTCAGACTTCTCCCTAAATGTTCTTTTGATTTTTTTTTTTTTTGCTTAAGTCTACCACAAAGTTACCTGGGAGGCCATGCATTTGCTCCCAGTTATGAATTTTGCGCAACACCTTTAAAAACAGTGGTGCCCAGTACTTTACAGCAAAGGAGGTCGAGTTCCACTCCTGCTGCAAGGGCAGCTATTTCCCCCATTCCCAGATTTGGTGCTCTGTCCAAGGGCTCCCTGGCAGTGCTAAGTAAAGCCCCTTGCTCTTCCCATTAGGGACAGCTTGTGACACAGAGCAGGGATGATGCAACAGGCACAAACCCAGCCATAAACACCCACATGCTCACCAACCCACAGCCTCCCCAGAGCTGTCACCATAGCCAGCACTGTACCTGTGTGGACGGTTTTGTGGCTGGCGAGGTTCCCCTTGTAGCGAAAGGAGGCCTGGCAGCGGTCACACTTGTAGGGTTTGTCACTGTGGACTTGCAGAGAATGTCTCTTGAGAGAGGCCTCCTCGGAGAACCGGCAGTCGCACTCGTTGCAGAAGAAGGCTCCGTTCTCTGGGAGGGCAGAGAGAGGAGCAATCAGATGGACAGTGCATGGGTCACTTTCTTGATAGGCTGTGGGATGGATTTGGGAGGGAGGAGAGGGGCAGTCAGAGCAAGTGCTGGAACCAGCAGCCAAGTACAGCTGTTCACATTCAGTTGCACTTGCACTGTTGTTGTTACCTCCTGGCCTTGTGCACACAGCAACGACATGCATGACTTGAGAGCAAAGTCACCACGAGCTCTAGTTTAGAGCTTTCTCTCTCCTTTAGTGACACACAGGCTGCTTACAAGAAGCCAGGCTAGCACCTGGACATCTTCCAGAGAGGGAAAGCACTCATGATATCAAGCATCCTCTGAAGGTTGCTCAGCTCTGGAGCAACTTCTGCACCTTCAGGGGTCTTTTAACCTTTACAGGTACAGAGGTCTGCCTTGAGCTTAGGAAGATGATCATCACCCAAATCACAAGGCAGGCTCCCCCAGCAGGATGATGCCCAACTCTTAAATGTTGTGTTGAGTGTTACCACAATGAGGTTCCCTTCTTGGATCTCTGCCCACACTACAGGTGGCAATGCTGCATTCCCCCTTCCTGAGCTACAGGCAGATGAGTGCACAGATACCTGTCTTTGGGCTTGTGGGGTTTTGTAACAAGATTGCAAGCCTCATTATCTGCATTTCCCCAGATGTGCACACTGGGCTCCCTGATAACAAAAATATCATGACGGATGCATGAGACATGCCAGCTTGCCCAATCCCCATTATGGGTCATTACATCTGTCAGGCTTGTTCTGCTGTGGTTCTGGTGGGGTGGGGTGCACTTGTTTCCTGTCCTTACCTGCCATATTTGCAGCAGGTGACTACCTCCCTGCACAAGGTATCTGGATGGTGCTGGGGAAGGGGAGGAAGGCAGCAATTCCTATGTGCATGTGTCCCTCATATGCATGCAGAGAGCTGGGCAGACAGTTAAGAGAGGGCTGTGGGATCCACCAGCATCTGGGACATGTCTGACTGTGTTTGGTCACAGGGCAGTCAGTGATGGGTCCCTACGTTCACAGCCCCCTAACTGCTGGTTGAAAAAGACAATCAAGGATGCAAGACTCACCGCAGCTGGAGTCAGAGTATTCAGACTGGGTTTCCCCCATCTCTTCTCCAAAGTTTGAGCCAGGGGTATGAAGGCACATCTCAGTATGTTGTGGGGACTGGCAGCCACAGGAGCTGCACTTCGATGAATGCATGTACAGTGGGGACTGCCCTTCGCTGCTCCGCGGGGACCCATCCCGGGACCTGTGGAAGGAGAGGAACGTACACAGCTGTGAGAAGGCCCTTGCTGTGCTCGAGATACCGAGGGTGTTTGCACCCCTCCCAACATAAGGGACAGACACGTTTTACGGGGACATCTTTGTGGTGATCTGCACAGCATAGCCCTGATCAACAACAGATCCTTAAGCTTCAAACCTCCAGATGTCCATCATCAAATGACCTCAAATGTCTTTAGGAACATCCAGGTCCACAGGATAGCATATTGTTCCCTGATATTTTGGCCATTCCAATGCTTACAACCAACAAAAAACTTGAGGCATAGAGAGTCTGGTGGAAACACAGGCTGGGCAAATCCAGGCTCCAGAAATCATCCAGAGCTGCCACAGTTACCCTGGGATTCACAACCCAATGTTCCCAGTTCCTTTGCCAGTCCACACTGGCTCCAGTACCGTGGGGACGGTGGGCACTCAATGTCACCGGCAGCCCTCCACCAAATGCCTGGGATGCCATCTGCTCATGACTGGACTTCCCGTCCAATGCTACAGATATTTCACACTTCCAAACCCTCACCAGCAATGCAGGAAGTCCTGTTTCTCAGGGAGAGGGGCATGGGGGGTGGAAATCTTCTCACCTGTTAACAATATTGTTGAGTCTGCTCGCTTGTGGAATCGTAGAGTCTTCACCATTCACGCTTATCTTGGTGGGGGATTGCACATTGAGATGCTCTGGCTCCATGGACTGCTGGCAAGTGGACATGGGCACATAGGTGCGAGGAGAGAGGGTTCCCATCTCGTTCTGGTCAGCGCTGTCCTGCTTGGTGTTCTGGTTGAGAGAGTTGAGGACAATGAACTTGTACTTCTTCCAGTTGCAGGCTTTGGGGTCTGTGGGGCTCTTGGTGAAGAGGGAGCTGGAGTTCTGACCGATGCGGGCGTTCTTGCTGCTGCTGGACTCAGTTGGTGAGTTGGGCTGGCAGTCTGACTTCTGTGGGCTCTGAGGGCTGATGAGCCCCTTGCGGTCCAGGGGTGTGTTGGTGGGCTCAAAGTGCTGGCTGATCTCGTCCTCTGAAGAGGTCCGCTCCTCCTCTTTGGCCACTTTATCACAAGGGAAATAGGGGTTGTTCCGGACTGAAGGGATGACAGGTTTGGGCCCAGAAGCCACGCTGTAGTGCATGTCACTCCTGGCTTCTTCAGCAGCACCTTCCTTTGGAGCATAGATGGTAGCGTGGCACATGTTGGCAGAGATGTCGGTAATGGTTCTCACGTACTCAGTGGGGATTGTCCTGGAGCTGTCGCACGGCAGGATCCTCTCCTTGGGGAAGGCACCTGCCCTTGAGAGTTCAGAGAGAGGCATCCTCATCTCCCGCAACTCATCATCCACTAGGAAGCTATTTAGGGGGAGAGGGCTGTATCCATGGTAGGAAATGGGGGATCCAGACAAACTGTTGATCAAGCCAGGTGCAAAGGCCCTCCCATTGCAGAGGGACCCGTTTTGAAGAGGCATGCCGTTCTCTGAGACATCTCTGCTCCGATAAGCCATCACCTCTGGGTGGCCCAGCATCCGTCCAGCCAAAAACTCTTCCCTTGGGGTCTTCACAGCAGACACCATCTCTGCTTCACTGGAATTGGGGAAAACAAAGTAATTGTTTAGGAGGGAGACAAAGTCATTTTCAGCTGTTAAAAGATACATTTGCAGATACTTTGTCCGTTTTTCCCCTGCCCACCCAAACACACAGTCCCAGGCTCTTCAAAGCTCACCAACTGCACTCACCTAGACTTGACAAACCTTCGGCAGGTGTCAACCACATGCTCCATCTGCAGGTAGAGTGCTGTGGCCATCACAGCCATGATATTGTTCTCCCTCAAGTTCAGGCGGGAGGTGTACATGAAGTCCAAGAGGATGCAAAACCCCTCAGGGTTAATTTCAGGATCCAGGTTGATAACATTCAAGTTGCACTTGAGCTGGTCAGTGAAGATGCTGTAGAAGAGGCCACTGCAGAGGGGAGACAGTAGTGAGGACAAGTGTTATGACAATTCAAAGGGGAAACAAAAGAGAATTTGTATTAAATCCCCAAGAACAGAGGGGGTTCTTGAATGGGAAGGGAGGAGGAGAAGGCAATTACAGAATTCCGTGGGCTTCCCCCTTATTATCAAGCTTGGTTTCTCAGCTTAGTAAGCACCTTCTGCACTGCACTTTTCCCAAATGGAACAGCCTGCTTTTAGATCTCACCTGCTCAACAACTCCCCACTATCTCCATTTAGTAATTCCCCAGCTTTTTTGTTTTTTTTTTTTCATTGTTGTTCTTACCACCATGCCCCTCCCACTATGACTCATTTCTTTCAGAAGCCTCTTGGGGCATCACATAGTTTTAAGCCAGAAAACCAAAAAAAAGGAGAAATGTTGGCAAAACATTTTTCAGGCACTTTAATAATCAAAGCTTGGCATTCTGAAATCTTTACACCATGTCAGCAAGAGAACCTGGAATGCATTTGCTGTAATTCAACTGGGCAATAGTGGGATATTAATTAGCATTAATTGGGAAGCAACTCCAGCAATCTTAGGAGCTGGAAAGGGATTTCAGACCCCATCAGGCTTAAAAAAAAAAAAAAAAAAAAGAATAAACTAAGGTGGGTGCAGCCAGCAGTCTGGGAGCCAGGGAGGAATAACTCTAAAAATAGCATTGGCAGGGGATACCTCTATCACAGAAGACTCACTCACCCTAGTGAACATCCAGCCCTCCCTCTCCTCTCCTATGCCCCTGTGGCACATTTGTGCTTTGCCTTCAGGGATGTGCCTCACAGCTGCTGTGCTCCTGTTGGTCTCCATGGGCTGTGTGTGGGCAGATATGGGTACACAAGGAGTGAGGTGAGGACAGCACACTGGAGGGAAGTGGTTTCAGCTTTAATCCCATTACAGCTACAAATTTCTTGGCAGCCCCTTTCAGTTCTATTTCTCTGCCTCTGATTCCCTTGAGTCCCAGGAGCCCCCACAGGACTGCAGCAGTGATTCTGGAGGCCAAAGGCTGAAGGAGCAAGGAGGGAGGCAGGGAAGGACCCTGTTCTCACCTGCAGGCCATCAGGACTGTTTTGTGGGCTCTAAACTGCTCCCGGTTCACAATGATGACAACATCAGTCAAGATATCGCGGCTTCTAAGGCGGTTGAGATTGAGGAGGACGTCGCTCGCGTGGCGGGTGAACTGGATGCAGCTGTCTGCCGGCGAGGCCATCTTGAGTCTGAGACAGAAGCATCAGAGGAAGATGAGAATGGAGAACAACCAGGCAAGTACCCTAAACCTGGGGAAGAGATGGCTGCTGCTCTGGGACACGCTCAGATGGCCAATTGCCCCTGGTAGAGGCAGCACCAGCTCCTTGGTCCCAAGGCAAACAGTCCTGCATCACACTGAGCTTTTGCCAGGCTGCCGAGTGAGGTCCCTGGTCTCCTGATAGTGAGACCTGGCATGTCTCATCCCACCCATCAAGCTGGTGGGTGAAGGCAATCAGACCCTCCTGATGATTAGCCAACCATCTTCTCTTTCTCCCTGCCTCACCCATGGCGGCCCCACCCCAGTCCACTCCACCCACTCAGGTTTATCTCCATAATGTTTCCAACATTAGAAGCTTCCAGCCTTCCAAACTCCCTCAGGAGCCATCCTCCTCACCTGTGTGATGTCTGGCTGTAAATCCAGCCACAGGAATCAAAACAAGCCTTAAGGTCCCAACTGAAGTTGAATGATTTCAACATCTGGAAAATCCAGCCCACAGTGGAATACCAACCCTCACCCAGGAAACTACTTTCCTGCTCCCAAGTGGTGGTCACTCTGGAGAAGACCCGCCCACAGTTTCCCAATTAACTGGTGAGGAATAGAACTCCTCCAACCTGCTGGGCTGCTACCCACACCACAGTCATGGGCAAAGTTTGGGTTAGTCGAGGAACATGAAGCCTTCTCTCAACACACCACCTGTTGACACAGCTCAGAGGCACCCTCCCAAGCAGTACCCAGGATGGCCCATGTCTCCCTGAGGTTTGGGATGGAATGTGTGTCTTTGGTGTTAAATTCTTCGATGATCAACCCCCTTCCATAATCCTGACTCCTCCTTCCCCAGTGGCATGTGAACATACAGTAGTTTCTATAGAGCAGCTGCTCTCTCAAAAACAAATTCCAGCTGGATCTAATGAAACATTGCATTAAGGAAAAGGGGAAACATATTAGGAGGGAAAACAAAAAATTTAAATTTACATACCCAATGCCTCAATTCACAGTCCAAAAGTGTCTTTCAAACCTACAAATAAATCACAAGAAAACAAACACCACATTAGCTGGTAATTATGAATTGGCCATGGCAGGTCACAAGACTGCTGTTTTGCTCGAGTATCAGTTGGATAAAAGCTGGAGATAACAAGCCTTCTACTCTCCAGTAAGGTTAACATTTGTTTCTTCCGGTACAGTACATTCTTATCACAATCACAGCCTTTGAGAATCCAATCATAGCTTCTACCACACCCTCTAGCCCAAACCATGGGCGTATGCCAAGGAGATTTTCATTTCCATGACTCAGGAACTTAAAGGCAGGTGGGGAAGGGACGTCAAGCGAGAATTTTCTCACCACTTCTTTCGGAGATAACTCTTCCCCTGCCAGGACTGAATTCCTGTCCAGTGCCACATTCAAGATCCATGTCATACTCCCAGCACCTTGTTAACAGGTATGATGTACACACAAACATCTGCTGCCACTCTACTGAGAAACCCACATGCTCCAGCCATTGGCGAAAACGCCCTGGGATGGGATTGCTCAACAGATCTGGGATGATACAGGTGTCAAGTACCAACGTGACTTGGCCAGGACTGCATAGGAAGCCAGTGGTAGAGACAATAAGGATGCAGAACAAATATCCATTCCCCTTTCTGCTGCCAAAGCCTTCCCTTAAACCACAAGCTGTGTCTCCGGGCACTGGTTTCACCTAGCAATGTAGCTGGGACAGAACAGCAAGGAAACCCAGGAGTCAATTGCCTTCTAGAACTCATACTAATCCTCCAAAATTCACTTAAACCAAACCCAATTGACTTGGCACCAATGCAGGAAGAAGGTCCTCAGAGAGTTGCCTCAGCAAGTAAAAGCACAATGAATAAGTGAGCCAACAAACCCCAAGACCTTCATTGCACTATTTTGTGGACCAACCCCTAAACTGTTAAGACTGCAGGAAGCCAAATAATCCCTGTGAGACAAGGGATTGTCAAGCATTTCCTCCCCTCTCCCTTGCAGGAGATGTGCAGGTCTGCAGCCCAAGATCCCCTCCCATCCCCAGAGCCACTGGGATGAAGAGATGAGATTTAAGGCAAGGTATCATGCACAAAACCCAGAGGGTGTCTTACAGCTTTATTCCAGCCATCGAACACAAATCTTCAGAGCCGCTCTGAGCCCGGCCAGCTTAAAACTTTATGCACATACAAAAAGTGACTCATTTCCCAAATACTGCAGACTCTGACCTTTCTGTACAAGCTCACTGCCAGTCACTCACTACTGCCAATTGCAAGCCAAGCGACCCGCAGCATTCTGCAAGGAGCCCAGCCTACATCCCTGTGCCCACATGAGCAGATGTGTGTGCTTGGGGCAGCTCAGCAACAACCACAGTGGCAGACATACTCTGCCAGGCTCTGGGGAGTCACCTCAGTGTCACAGAGGTGAGGAGGTGACCCACTTGTAAACCAACAAAGTAACAAACAGCCAGATGAACTCTGTACCCCTGAGCATCATGCGAGAAGCTGCTACTGTCGCCAAATCCCCTTATCCAGAGTGAGGGCACAGCACTTCCAGGGGGACACCCAGCTTCTCCCCCAGAGCTGGACCCAGCACAGCCCCCTTCCCCACCTTCCAAATTATCCCTCCCAGCGCAGTGCTGCTGCAACCTCCACAGCCCCAGGAGCTGGGCAGGTGCATCCCAAGCAGCTCCTGGCTGCAGGATGTGGGCATGCAAAGGGAAAGGGACTTTCCTTCCTCTCACTGTGCTGAGCTGGATTAACCCTGCCCCTTCCAGCTCCCACACAGCAGTAGCTCTGTACCCCAGCACGGGAGGATACTCAGATGAGAGACCAGAGAGAACGGGATGGCAACAAGGACCAGAGACCAGTGATGGGAGCAGGAAAAAACACTGCAGCCAAGCATGGTTTTTGCTATGTAAACCCCCCTAAAATCCCATGAGGCTCCTCCAGGCTCAGCTGGGGCCCGAGCACCATCTCACACCGCACACCCCCCTACCCTCCAATTTTCCTGTCCAGTACCTTGCAGGTGGGGGCTCTCTGGCAGCGCTCGAGGCTGTGTGCCAGGGCTGGCTGTGCCTCCAGAGGACGGTCTGGAATAGGCACAGTGCCCATTTTGGTGGTGGCCACACGGGACAGTCACTGCTGTTGCCTTCCAGGAAGGCAATGGGTCTGCCCCAGTGGTTCAGGGAACAGCCCTTCCCTGCCGGCACCTCCCCGAGAAAACCCATTCCTGGAAAGGAGCCAGAGCTGGCTCTGCCTTCCCTGCAGCTCTGTGAGCACAGGGAGGGTGCACCTTCGTGTGGGGGCACCTCTTTCAGCTCAACCCCATGCAAAGGGGAGACCCTCTTTGCTCACTTACCCTAGGGCAGAGGGGAGAACCAGGGACTTCCAATCCATTTTTCTGCCATGCCTCTCCATTGATCTACTCTCCCAGTTAGAGGGAATCCCTTTTTATTCATCCTCCTCCCACTCTGTGCACAGCAGGGGTCTCCTTGCTCCTCTATCCTTCTTTGCATGGTGATACCCCGTGGTCTTAACCCTTCTCCCACCCCCAGTCACACAGGCAGGGAGAAGGGCATCGAACACTCCCCTTCCCTGGGCCCCAATCTCCTACCCCTCCAGAGCCTGCAGCGCCGACTCACTCGCATCACCTTAGAGGGGCGGCTGGGTGAAGTCTTCCTTCCCCACAGGCTCATCCCACACAGTGTTCTGAAACTGCCCGCCCAGGGGAAACTCCATCCTGCCCTCCTCCTCCCCAGTAGGGTCCCAGCCCCATGGGAACATCCCTGCTGGCTGCCAGGGCGCGCTGCCAGCTGCCTCTCCACCCTACCAAGGAATGCCTGGTTTCTCCTGAACAGGGATCAGGGGGACAACCAAGAAAATGAGGTGGTGTGTGGGTGGCTCCCTCAGCCAAGCCATGAGTGCTACAGGACAGGCCATGGTGAAGAAGATGCTTCTGGCTGTGGGTATGTGACTGCCCAGCTCAGCTTTCTGATACCATGCAATCCAGGGGCACCAAGTGTCCTTTAGTTGTCACAGCAGTTTTATTAGTTTAGTAGCTTCTGGTTAGTGTCTAGGCCAAAACGTGGCTGGGTTAATAATAACCCAGCAGAGACTGAGAGAAGTCCACAGCGTCAGCACAGATCAAAAGCAGCATCACCAGTGCAAGCCCTGTCGTATTTTCCACCGTACCCTTCCGTGAGCAGATCGCACTCGCTCTATCGAGCGGTCTCAATCTGATCCAATTTCCTGCCAGCAAACAAATGCTTCTAGGAAATGCAATGCATTATCTGGACGGGTTTATTATCAGCATTTGGAACCAGGAAAGCTGCATATTTTCTCGAGCGCCGCAGGGAACTTTATAGTTCATACTTCAAAAGAGGGTTTAAAGGATTGCCCTTGAAAGCTGGCCCAGCTCAAGTCTCACATTGTTTTGGTCTTTGCAGAAAAAAATGCAGAGGAGGGAGGGGGTAAGCATGCTAAAACTGCCTCCAATGTTTTCTTACTAAAGAGGACTCCCCTGCCCTCTACGGAGCCAAGCTCTGGCTGTGAGGCAGAGGCAGTGTGTGCCCTTGGGAAGCAAGGAGTCGAGCCTTCCTCAGCATTTCCAATGACCCCAAGCAATCTGGCACATTAATTTTTCAAGGGAAGGCAGGAGCCATGTGTCCTGGCTGAAATCTAGGGAGCTACTCCGGAGAACAGAAGATGGACTCCGTGCCCTGCCAACACGAAACCCTGTGCCGAGATGCCGACGCGAGAGCAGGGTGCAGCTGGAGTCGGGTGTCCCCAGCAGCTGAGCTGGATCCCTGGCCCCACTGGGCTCCAAAGAGGTGTCTGATCATCCCTACCCTGCACTGGGACAGAAAATTACCAGCTGGCACCTGACCCTCCCTGTCTCTGCACTCCTGGGGCTGAGGGTGGCACAGCTCCTTCTGGCAGTAAGGGACTGCTCTGGCATCCCGCCTGGATGGGATGAGACACATGCACAGCTTGGGGTGCCTTGGCCAGGGCAGAGACACCCCCTTGTCCCTATATTTAGCCAAACAGATTTCAGGAGGTGAATTTCAAGGGGTATCTAGTCCTACAGGACACCTTCTTCAGGACGCATTCAGAACCCCCAGTCCTGGAGCGTGCTTGTCTCAAGCTCTCTCCTCCATAAAAAGGGGTTCACAACATGCCCCGTGGGTACCCAGCATACAGCCCAAAGGCAGCAAGTGACCAGGAGAAAGAGGGAAAAGAAAACAATATAGATCAAAATTTCCTATCCCTCTCCCAAACACCCCTAAGTTCTGTCTCTGGTTTAGATGGGAAGCTCCACTGAGATTACTGGGGTTTTAAAGCAGTCCTGAAGACTACACACTTGCTTCAGTTTAGGGGTATGTGTCTTTTGGCTGCCAGCATCCTGCAGTGATGCTAACACATAAGATCTAGCTTGGATTTTAAAAAGAAAAAAAAATAAAGGAAAAAAGAGGACTACATTTGCAGCCTAAATTTGCAGTCTGAAGGAGCTTACTGGTCAGATGCTGACTTTTGGATACTGATCTAACCGAACTGCAAACTGTGAACTCCTGAGGTTTGCCAATGCCTGCTGTAAACATGGAAACCAAGTGTCACTTTTTGCCAAACAGAAGAATGGTTTAAAAATAGATCTAGAGAAGAATACAGGCACTCAGCATACAAGGCTCCCGTTTATAGACTCCCATGCTACTATAAAATGGAGCAAGAGGTTATGAGCACACAAGCAACCTTCCACCAAATTTAGATTTTACCAACTTCTCAGAAAAATGAAAACAACATTTCAGGCTCCAGCTGAACCAGTAAAAACTCTTTGAGTGAAGTTCCCAGCCCAGGTATTACAGCATACAGACTAAGCCAGGCATGAAACAGTTCTTAACGCCATAAATATATGAAGGTACATAAGTTGCACACTGAGAAATGCACCTACTGATTAGAGTTTAATTCTAATCATCAATAGACTTTGTAAAAAGGTTTTATTTTTCACGGAGAAATAAAAAGTGAAAGGACAGTCCTACCACATAGGACTGGCACACAATGTTTTACCACCTGTACTTGTATGGGGTTTTGAGGATAACATTACTGTTTACTAAGGAAAAAAATGTGCTGCAAACCTAAACACTATTCCTACAAAATCACATTGGGCTGCTGCAGTTGGACACTGAAAGCTTTCCCTGCCCAAGGAAAAAAAAAAAAAAAAAAAAAAGAAAACAGAAAAAAAGCATAGCTTTACAATACATCCTAAATTAGGCAAAAATTCAAGGGCAGATTAACACCACAACTCGGAAAGATTTTCACATGTGATTTCATGACCAGACCCAGAGAGAACTCCATATGGAAATGTCAGTGACTTTAATAAGCACTCGGTTGTTTCCAATTAGGCTCCTTAAGTAAGTTCAGTGGCATCCAGAGTTTCCTCTGCCACCTTCCTCTAAGCTGGCAAGCATTTTTTTTTTCTTTTTTTAACGAGCAGTTAATAAACACGTTCCCACTCTCCCGAGGCTGCCGGCCCCGCCAGCCCCGCGGAGCGGCGGGAGGTGACACTAGATGGCACCAGCTCGCTTCGCTGCAGGAGCAATTTTTCCCCTTGGAAAATAAAACACCCCAACCAAACCTGGAAAACATATAATTTTGTCGATGTAATTCTGTTTCTTTTAAAACGCATCTGAGCAACATTATTTTTATGAGCTTTTCCAGCCTTGTTTTGAAAAACTTAATGTTTCTGTTAGGTTTATTTTTGTGCCATCCAACAGCCGGCTGAATCCTCCCTGCACTGCAAACAGGGATGTCTAAAAAGTGTCACAAAGCTTTTTGACAGATTTTTTTTTTGCTTTGTTTTTGGGGTGGGATTTGTAAGAATCACTTCTCATTCCAACTTCTTCCTTCACAATAATAACTAACCAGTTAACCTCCACTTCCTCTCCCAATATTGACTCAGACAGTCAGAACTGAGGGGGATTGGAAATTGGAATTGAAATGCCTCTCAAGAGATCTTTGATCTGTTTTGCCTATCAAAATTGAACACCAAGAGATGAACTCTTTTCTTACTGGAACAATATAATAATCCATTTTTCTGGAAAATTTCTAGATACCCTTTGAATATTTTAATGGCTTCACGGGCCATTGTGTTATGTTTCATGGGGCAAAATGCTTGCCATCTATAATGCAAGTTTTTAAACCTGCAATCCTACCCTTAGGAGAAAATAAAAGAATCTCTGGTTCTGCTTCTCTGTGCATATATAAAGAGAGGATTCCCCTAAAATATTTTTAGAGCAATTTTTGAACTGTAACCCACTCAAGGACTGGAGGAAAGAGCTTGCATTTGCTCCTAAAGCTCTCATCCTCTAAATTCTTGAAACAGTACAGCAAATAATAATTTTTAAAGCATTTAAACGCTGAGGAGAGGAATCAATAAGATTCCCAGATCGAACAAGGGCCTGATCCCAAACCTGGCCCTGCAGACACTTCCACTGGCACAAGCAGCAATTTGGCCCAAGACAGAGATGTCGGACCAATGTCTGAGCCTCATCCATCTGTCCCCAGCCTCCCTTTGCACTGATCCTGCGCCTACTGTAGTCAGTGGAAAAAACTAACCGGTGACGGGTTTGTTTTTGTTGATTTTGATTCATGATTTTAAGCCCAGATTTGCCTCTTCCCTGGAAGTGCAACAGGGGGGTCAAAGGCAGCTTTTTAGGCACATCTGAGAGGCTGCCGCGGATTTTTCTGTGCAAACGCTTTGCTTTCTGTTTCTCTCCTTCCCAAGAGGCGATTTCATAACATTTCATATTGTGACTTTGCAAACTACAGGCGGGGGGAACGGCGGGGGTGGGGGGGAGGGGGCGGCCGGGAGAGGTCGCTGCTGTCCGACCACGAAAGTTTTCATAACAAAGTTGGGCTTTTTCGGATTTGTTTTGCCTTTTATTTTTAAAGGGGGGGGGAGGGGGAGCTTAAAAAAAAAAAAAAAGTTAAAAAAAATACACACGCACACAAGATCACGCACCTCATAAAAAAACTATTAAAAAACCCCAACAAACCCAAACAAACAGCGCTCTCTCTTCCCCGTCCGCTCGCGGCAGTTTCGGGGCCGCAGAGCGCGGGGGTGCGCGGCTCCCCGCGGCCGCTCGCTCCAGGAATAGCGTGTGGCCGGGGGCCAGCCCCGCGGCTGCCGCCGGCAGATTTACGAGCGCCTGTCCCCGCGCCAAGTCCGCCGCGGTAGTAAACACAGGGGAAGGGCTGCGCTGGGGGCAGCGGGGGGCTCCGCACATATCGCGCCCCGGACCCCGTCCCTTGCATCCCTCGCACGGCTGCGCTCCGCTTCCCCCGCCCGCCGCCTTCCTCCCGGCGGGGTCCGCCCGCTCCTCCCCACGGGTGGCAGTGGTGCTGTTGTTATTATTATTTTCAGCCCTAATCGTGATACTCAGTGTCGCTTCATACACTTTTGCCCCTTCCCGAGTTTTGCATCGCGGCTGGGCTCCCGGCCGGCCGCACGCACCGTCGAGGCGAGCGCGGTCCCCGCCGCCCCGGGCCGGCGCTCCGCCGTGCTCCGGGGCCGGCAGCCGGCGGCGGCCGAGCCTCCCCGCGGGCTCCCCCCTTCCCCGGGCAGGGAAATGCCGCAAGTCTTCTCCATCACCGCCCGCTCTTAGCCCGGGGCTTGACAGATCACGGCGCAGCCCCGCCACAGGTTGCAAAACGCACCAGCCCTTCCGCGGTTGCGCCGGGGACGGAATAACAATAATAATGCTTTAATAACTGAAACGGAGAGAAATGGGGGCTGGCGCGGAAAGGCCGGTGCCCGGTGCTGCCGAGCCCCCGCGCTGCCGCCAGCCCCGCTCCGCGGCGGCTTCGTGCGGCGGCGAAACGACAACAGCGACACAACACGCACACACAAAAAAAAAAAAAAAAAAAAAGAAAAAAAAATTTAAAAAAAAAGGCAAAAAAAAAAAAAAGGCAAAGAAAAATAACACACCCCGACCGAATGATCCAGCCATTGAGAGCGGACCCCGAGTCACGCCACAAGCCCGGCGGCAGCCAGCGCTCGCCGCCGTCCTGCGCCCGCGGAGCGGCTGCAGGTGCAGAGAGGAGCCGCCGCCGTCCCCCCCGTTCCCACCCGGCCGTCACGCGTGCGGGAAAACCAATAATCCCAGATAACCGATAATCCCCGGGAGAGGACGGCGAGGGGAGACACTCCCACCCACCCCGCTCCCCTCCCCTTATACACGCTCCCAGCGTTAAAGACATGCAGGCACCCCTATTTCCATATTTTTTTTTTCTCGCCTGACAGCGGGCAAGGGGAAAGGGGGGGATGCGTATGTGAAATAAATAAATAAATAAGGCAGGGAAAAATTAAATTGAGGTTATAATAATAATAGTATTAAAAAAAAATAAAGGGCACCTGCAGCGGGAAAGAGGGGAGAGGGGGGGGAAGGAATGAGGAGGGAGAGGGAAAAAAATGGGTAGAAATATATAGAGGCGGCTCCGCGCCAAGCGTCGGAGCGGGGCAGGGAGGGAAAGAGGAGGGAAAAAAATGGAGAGAAAAAAAAAAAAAAAAAAAAAAAAAAAAAAAAAAAAAAAAGCGAGCGAGAGAATTAAAGGGTAAAATCGGCCGCGGCAATAGAAGCAGCAATCACCTGGTCTCCGGGCTTTCCTAGAAACTCCTTGCATCACCACTTCTAAGAACCCCAGTTCTAAGAATCAACAGAGCCCAATTCTCGGAATTTGAGCTGCGGACTCTACCATCGCGCTCGGCATGGGGAGGGACACGGACCTCCCCCCTCCGCGCCTTCCCCGACGCCGCGCCCCTCCCGGTGAGCGCGGCCCCCCGAGAGCGCCGCCAGCAGGGTGGGCGAGGGGGGGGCGCCCGTCCCGGGGGGGCCGCGGCGGAGGCGGGGGTCTCACGGTGTGGCCCCCCGTTCGTCCCCCTCCCCGTTCCCCCCTTCCAGCAGTGGTCGCGCCCGGCCGGCGGGTCACGTGGCGGCGGGTGCTGTCGGTGACGTGGGGGGCGCGCGGGCGCGGAGCAGCGCGCGCGGCGCGGACCGAGCAGCGGCGGCGGCGGCGGGAGAGGAAAACGGGGGGTCCCGGGCACGGCTCCGGGCGGTGCAAACACACATCACACCCCCCTGCCGCCGCCAGCCTCCGCTTCTGGGGGTGGTTTTTTTTGTTTGATTTTTTTTTTGCTTTTTTTTTTTTTATTTTATTTTTCTCCCAAACCTCTCCGAAAACGAAGAAATCTTGGAAAAAAAATCGCGCCTTTTATTTATATATATATATATATACATATATATGTATGTATATTTAATTATAATTTATTTATTTTATTATTTATTTTGGGGAGGGGGGTCACTTTCGCCTTTCTAAAACACCCTCCCCCCTCTAAAAAATACCCCAAACCAACCAAACAACCCAGCGAGCAAAGCCAGGAGCCAGCTGCATTGTTCTGGATTTTTACTTCTTTTTCTTTTAATTTTTTTTTTTCCCGCATTCAGCTTCTTTTTAAAATAATTTTTTTGCAGACAGCCACACTCGGCTCACGGCCTCCAATGGGATTTACTGTTGGGGAAAGAAGCTTTTTCCTTAAAGACAGTTCCTCATGAACTCCCCATATTCACTTTTGGTTTTATTTTTAATTTTTTTTTCTTTTTTATTTCTTTGCCAGAATTCTCCAGACTAAAAAAAAAAATATACAAAAACATTCTGATGATTTTTTTCTTCTTTTATTTTTTTTCCATCCGTGTTCTCTTTTCCTTTCCAGGACACTCAAGTGGTGGGTTAATTCTGTGTAGCTGTTTTGTTATTGTTGCAAAATAACCTGTAAGTCTATAAATATTCTGTTTGTATGGAATTGTTGTACTGTGCTGGGGATGCGAAATCGCTTTGGCTTTTCTGGAGAGGGATTTTATTTCTGCACTTTTTGCGTCTTGCTGGGAAAAGGCCTTTGCTGGGAGCTGGGAGGGGGGAATAATGCAAAGCCTTGCAGTCAGTGTCTCGGGTGGGTTTCGCAGGGGGTGCAGAGGAGGGGACTGTCACCCCAACTTCCCCTCTCCCCTGTGGAGATGCAGCTCCGCGGATGTAAATCTATGGAGATTCCTGTGACTGTCCCCCAGCCTGGAGTGTTTATTCTTTGGGGGCCTGCAGCAGGGCTTGGGTTTAGGGGTGGTTCAGGTCGCTCATTTCGCTTTCCCGGTCGGGTTTTTGGGCTGCGAGCTGCCGCTCGGGGTGGTGGGGAGCGGGTGAAGGCACGCTCTGCGCTCTGAAGGCATTCCCGGGCCCTGGTGATTAATAGAAATTTGTTTACGAGAATAACCACCGCAGGTCACGGTGCCCTCGGTCCACTGGTGCAGTTGCTCGGAGCTACTGATTCCAGCACTGGCGAGCCCGCGGAGCGGCCGCCTTGGACGCAAAGTGGCCGGGTTCTGCCTTTATTTTGATTTCTCAGCTGAGCTCTTGAACCGAAACATTTTAAAGCAAGGAGATGGGGGGGGGGGGGGGGGTGGTGTAATAAATTAGGAAGAAAGCCCTTCTGCTAATACGACAAGCAAGACAGGGATGGTACTCCCGAGGCACTTGAGGTGGTACAGATATGCTGGAGAGACGGCTTCCCTGTAGCTAAAACGCAATACGGGATTCCCAGGGAGTGAGTGCAGCTGGAGCTGTGTGACTTGTGCGACTCCGATCCCGGCCCCGGGCAGGGAGGGGGCTCCCGGGTCTGCAGGTGACCGAAGGAGGATCGGACCCAAGAGTAGCCACTCTGTTCCGGGATTTTGGGTCTTGTTTTTTTTTTTTTTTTTTTCTTTTTCCCCAGCCATGAAACCCAAAGGAAGGGGTGGTGTTGGAGGCGACGGATCTGTTCTGTTTGTCATTTCTCCGCAGCGTGTGACGCTTTCGCTTTAGCCGGAGCCCAGCGAGCCCAGCGGCCGCGGGACGCTCGGGAGCAGCAGCGGCAGGGCTGCCGCTTGGGGGGTTTTTGGTGGGGTCCCGAGGTCGAGCCCAGCTTCCGTTCAAGTAGCACTCCGACGGGAGAGATTTCTCACTCTGCCTGGCCACAGCCAAGCCGGGCTTGCATCAGAGTTTCCATCCTAACCCGCCTCGTTGCGGGGACATAGGGAGCAGCCAGCAGCATCCCTTTCAGACTGGGAGCTGAGCGGCCTGGGCGCCTTTGCTGAGTTTTTGGCCTTTCTGCTCTGGTGTCATACCTTCTACTCCCTCGCTGTCACTCAGGGCCCGGCTGCAGCTACCCACGGGCTCTTACCACCCGCCTCTGCTCCCCACTGCTTCCTGCTGCCCCAAAAGCAGCAGCAGTCCCTGTGCTGCCTCGCTGGGGACTTCAGGGTGCTGGGGATGGAGTCATTTTTCTGGGAGCCATCTCCCACCATTGGCCAGAGGGATCCTTGCTGAGTGAGGCCTTTGACACCCTCTTCATTTATGCGTCCCAGTTCTGGGGACGAGCACGGCTGCCGCTGGCAGTGGTGGTGGCTGCCAGGGTGGCAATGTCCCGCTGGGACAGCTTCCCCTGCCTCCGCAAGCCGACAGCAAGTGTTTTCTCTTTGGGGGAGAACGGCGGCCCCGTGGTGGGGAGGGCTGCTGGTGGGAGTGTGCAAAGCCACCGGCAGTCCCATGTCGGCTGCGGGACGTTCCTCAGCGGCCCCGGGCTCGGTGTGTCTCCTGCACACCCACGAGGTGCCCGTGCTGCACGTGGAGGAGCAGCAGCTCGGCCCTGCATGTGGGAGGCTGTGGCAATCCTGCTCGGGGGTCAGCCCCACGCACCCCTCTCTCAAAAACACCCTCTACGCTGCAGAGAGCTCCTCACCCAGGCAAGGGTTTGAACCCCCAAGTGCCACCCCTGAAAGTGGTTGGCAGTGCTGGAACAGGGGTGATGCTGCTGGGAAATTGTCCCCCTTGGAGTTGGCAGGGGTATTTCTGGCCATGCAGGAGCGGCTCCAAGGAGCAGGGGCAGAGGCAGGAGCATTGCCACAGGTGCCTTGCACCCTCCCACAGACTGTCCCTCTGCAGCTTCTTCATCTCCTCCCCTGGCAAAGCTCCTGGGATGAAAAACAACCCCTCTGCCTGTGTGCTGGCATGCAGCACACAGAGCAGTGTGAAATTATTCAGCCGTCCCTGGGAGCTGCAGTTGGATGTTGAAGGGCCTGGGAGCTGGAGGTGCTACTTGGCAGCGAGGGGAGTCCCCGGGCTTGGGTCGTTTCCCCCCAGGGGACACAGAGCAGGTTTTTATGGTATATCGAGGCCAGGGCGTATTTTTCCCAGGTGAACCGCACCCCTGGAAAGAAATGCCTTGTCTTCTACAAAACACTGCTTAAATAAACAGTACCCCACTATAATTTTTTCTTTAGAAATTAACTCCTTCAGGCCATAAGGCTTCCCCATCCTCACACAAAAATAGCTGCTAGGACTTATAAAGGGAAAATAAAAATATGTCTAAGAGAGAAAAGTTTAGCCTGACAGAAGAGAGCCTATGAACCTCTCCCCTTCCCCGTGGTCCTCGAGGATGAGTTTTGGAAGCAGCCTGCCCGTTTTGGAGCTGGGTGCCACTGCATGAACGTTACTTTAAAGGAGTTTTGTGCATATTAATGTGAATGCAGCGAGGCCAGGCTGCGCAGGGACAGCAGAGTCCCTGCCTGAATTCAGCTATCTTGTTTTCTAATCTAACCTACTTTTTTTCTTTTACTTTTTTTTTTTTTTTTTTTGGTCAGAGGCCGGTGCTTTGCAAGAACCTGTTCTCAGTGCAATCTCAGAGCTTTTTGTGGGTGTCTGATTTCTGTAACACGTTTTGGTTTCCAGTATGAATGTAATGTACAGAGAACATCATGACACTGCTCTAGGTGTATGTGATCTTATCTACCTGACATTTAAGGTTTTTTTAAACCGTCCAATTCATCTGATTTGCATAAAGATCACATGATTTTACTTTTTTTCCTCCTTTTTTTTCATGCATCATCATAACAAACTGCTAAGGTTTACCAGGCTGTTTTGTATCTGGCAGCATGAACATGGGGCCTGTTTCTCTCGTCTTCATTCCTCCCTGGTGAAGGTTGGGGATGGGAAAGGTGGCACTTGGAGGGGACTTGTGATCCCAGCCAGCCACTGAAATCCTTAATAAACAAATGTGTACAGTTTAACTTCCCAGAAAACAAAGCAGCTGAGCATGCATGCCATGCAGTTGTTGTTAATTTAAATAGTTGAGACTTCTTTTTATTGATAAGGAAACTCCTCTGGAACAGCCCCCCGGATCCCAGCAGGCTCCCCCTGCCGCAGCCGTCCTCATTACAAAACAAGGCCGCAATTAAAATAAACTCCAAGAGCTAAACAAACTGCTGCCTCTTGCTGGTCATGTGTTAGCTTTAGCCTTTAACGCAGAACAAAATGTTTTCCTGGGTATCGGAAGAGGCATGGGCTCCAGCTGGGAGGAGAAGAGAGAGCAGCAGCTGGGCCTATGGGAATGGCAGGGAGTGGGGTGCTGCAATGCTCATCGGGGCTCCTTTCTCTTGCTTTCTTTTTATTTTTTATTGTTGTAAATTTGATGTTTGTGATCTAACTCGGTCTTTACTGCAAGGGAAAGGGCTGGAAGTGGAAAAACTTGAATGTTGTGGTAAAACCTGGCTGTCCCAGCACACCCTGGGCACATCTGACTGTACCTCACCCAGCCTGGCTCCCACTGAGCCCACCAGCCACAAGCCCCTGGCCCAATATGTTTTAATTCCTTCACGTCTTGTGCTGAGGCTTTAGGTGGATGCAAATACCACTTGGCATCTGCCAGCATCTGGATGGGCACTGGGAAGGGAAGCACAGGGTGCCCTGGAGGACAGGACCAGGGGGATGAGGAGATGGATGGAGGGAAGGGCAGCCAGGGGCTCCCGTATGTGGAGGGGTGTGTGGCTGGCTGGCCCTCAATGCCTCCATGCCATGCCATGGCTCCCCACACGGCCTGAGAATACATTTTAACCCCTGTGCCATGTCCACGTGTCCTCTTTGGGGTAATGAATTGCACTCAGATGAATACTCTGCAAGAAGAGCTGCTCTGATGATGGAGGGGTGCACATCCATGCTGTGTTCACGTCAACCCCCAGGATAATATTCTGGCAAAATTGCCCAAATAACTGGCATGTCTGCTTGGTGCTTGCTGCCAGGAGACAGTGTAGACTTGCCTGTCAAAAATTACTTTCTTGCCACAGAGGAGCAAGATATCTGCCTGTCTCCTGTCTGATCTCCCAAACTGGCTGAGTGTAAACAGCAGTTCTCGGAAGGTGGGTAAGGACATTCCACTCAGCACTTACAGCCCCACCGTCAGTTCTGCCCCATATTAGATTTAAAAGAGAAACTTCATTGAGAAGTTTTCAAGCTGCAGATAATTACCTCCCACCCCCACCCCAGACCCAGCTGATTTTTAACCAGTTATGGACCTAAGCCTGTCTGTGCCTCAGTGAGGCTGTGCCGGGCAAGGAGCCTCCTGCCAGGGGACGTGGTGGGGGAGCCTTCACCGGATCAGCATCCCCAGCCCAATCCCTTGCTTGTCCCCAAATCTCGTCATCCTGGCACCCACCAAACTGAAGTGTGTGACCAGTGGAAGCTGAAAATCCCTGGCCCGTGGCTGAGCAGCACTATTGACCTCTTTCTTTCCAGCAGACCTGTCAGCGTTCAGATGTTACAATGAAAAAAACCTCACTAACCTCTACAGATACTGCTCTGATTAGGAATTGTGCTGAGGTACTTCAAACCCAATGTGTAAGTTGCTTTGTTGGGGAAAAAAGTAATAAAAAGAATAAAAGGCAGTGCTTGGTTTGAATGGTTTATAATATTATTTATTACTCCTACGTCTCAGAGAATCTTGCAGATACCTGATAGCAAAAATCAGCAGAGAGACTAAGAAGAAGGACAGTGCCTCAAACTTTTACAGGAACAAGCACACTGTAATTAAGAGAGGGATTTGCATTGATCCTGATAGTTTTGAAACAGGCCTCTAAAGTTCAGGCTAAACTAGCCTAGTTTATTTCTATTTTCCCTCTAATAACTCCCCGGACATCTCAGACAGTAGAGTGCTCTGTGAATTTCAATTTCTCTCTTCAAATAAAACATCAACGTAATTTTTATATTCTTTGAAATGATCTGTGCAATTTTGTTCACGGAAACTCTTTGATTTAGACTTAAAGGATTTAGTGGCTGGACAGGAGGGTATCTGGAAGTAATGGTGAAAATGGTGATTATTTGTTTTACTGCCTTCTGGAATTCTTTTATTTCTCCGTATTATCTCTAAAAGCATGTCTGGCAGTAACAAGCTGTCTCTAAAAAGAATTCAATTAAATGTATTGCCAACAGAATATTTTATAATTTTTTATACTAGTAGTTAGAGTGTTAAATAATATATTAGTAGATTTATAGACTACATTTAGGTATGACTATGAATAGCTACAGTAAAAACTCAGAATATTCATGTAAAAAGGGAGGGGAGGAAGTTTGGTTTCTGGGGTTTAAGATTTTTTTCTCCTTGTCCTTATTTGAGTTTCAGTTTTAGGACTTAAAAAGAATTAGATTTTCACGTCTTTTTTTCTGTTATTCTCGAATGACAAGAAAAAGTCAGCTATTTTTTGAGACAAAAATTCCCATGAGATTTCTCCTTGTTTTAAATAATTAAATATTAAAGGAGTAAGAAAGAAGCAGGCAGATCCTACGATGTGGACGTGAATCAAATGGGATATTTATTTGCATAGGTACATGGCAAATAGGAAAAAATCGATCCCAAAGCTGTATGAAATTGCCAGTTACTCCATTACAGTGTTACAAATAGGTTATTACCCATAAGAACGTAACTCTTAATGTCCTAAAAATAATTTAATGCTAGGATTATTTTTATTTAATTTGGTAAATGACAAATATATTTTTGATTCCTATAAAGCAGAAATAAACCATCTCCCCGGGACTGGGAACTAAACCCAACTGCTCCCCCCTACCCCTCCTATTTTTTTATTGACTTTTTGTTTTCCTTTTTTTTTTTTTCTTTCTTGTTTTCTTTTTTCTTTCCAAAGTCTCATCGGCTCTTCTGAATTTTGCAATTCATTTGTCGTTCCTTCTACTTCAATAAAAACACTTTTCATCAGAAAACTTGATACTTTTTTCCTTCCGAGCCTCCCTGCAAATTGCCTCTCTCCCTCCAGACAAGTTTCGAGGATCAACAAGTTAACCTGAAAGATTACAAAGGTACAAGTGGGCTGCTTGAGAGGTGAATCATTAAACGTAAGGTGAAGTATACGGCTGCAGAAGGTTTCAATTAAAGTGACAGTCGAGGCAGCCTTTGCTTGCCTGGGAAGGTTCGGTTTTATCGTCAGAGCCGTGCTGGGAGCTGCGTCCATCCCGGGCAGGGAGGTTTGGTTCCAGTGCCTGCATTCTGCATTCCCAGGTCTGCTGCTGCCCCAGTCCTCACTCCTGAAGCAACTCCACTGGTTTCAGCATGATAAATTCGACTGTGACAGCATTAAAATATGGGAAAGGAGCCAAATCTCCTTTATATCCCCATTCAGGCTGGAATCAAGGAGCCTGCCTCGGAACTGCCTTCACCCAATGCTCCCGTTGCCACGTCCTGAGGAAGAGCAGGATCAGGCCCACAACCTTCCCCATTCCTTCCCCAAATCCTGCTCGCTCCTACTTATTTTTAATGTTTTTAAAGTAGTTTTGTTTTAATATTACAGTATATTTAATGAGCAGCCCCAGGGTGGAGGGAGAAATGTGAGATCCTTGCCGTGTGGTGGAAAACCTGCCCTGCTGCTGCCTTGTCCCCACATCCCCGCGTCTGCTCGGCATGGGGCACCCCCGTTCTCCTGCCAAACGTCTCATGGGTGCCCAGGGACTGTTTGCCCTGACACAGAGCCTGTGTCCATGCACAGAGGGTAATGCACAGACAACCAGTCCACGGGCAGCTGCCCTGCATGGAGGTCCCGCATGCTTGGAAGGAGTACGTGCAATGCTGGGCTTTTTTTCCCTGGCTTTTTGGAGTACAGACAGCACGGTGGTGAGGCAGGAGGTAGAAAGGGGGCAGGCTAGATATTGTCCTGACATGGAGCAATGCTGTGACGTTTTGTGGCACTTTACTGATTTAAATTTTAAGTATTTCTGAGTTTTACATTTTGCTCTGACATATTTCCATATGGCAGCCCCGAGTGTGGATGACATCCTCTTCACAAGGATGCTCCAGCGATTGGGTTAATTCCCTCCTACTAATTCCTTACATAATCATGTGGGCTCAGATCCTCAAAAGTATTTGTGTGCCTGCCTCCCTTGGAAATCAGAGAGTTTAATTGTCTGCTAAAATTATTGTTTTGTTTTGAAAGCAGAGCAGGAAATAAACTTGGATTTTATGAGATTTGTTTGCCTCTCTGTGGTCACAGAGTACTTTTTTTTACCTTTGCAAATTAATTTCCTGTTAAATAACGTGGTGCCCAGATTACAGATGTGTTTTTAGACAGGGACCAACAGGAACTTGAGTGCCAGGGTAGGTTAAGGAAGCTGGGTTTTGGCCTTTTGGTATTTTTGGTCCTGGTTAGTAAAATGTGTGTAGGACAATGGCAGAGTCTTGAAGAAATGCTGGAGGGAAGACTCCATTAAAGCCTGTGAGATGCTGAGATAGGAGGATAATAGAGATCACGTCAGTGAGAGATGCCATCTATTACAGATAATGATTCCACAGCTGACTGCATCTCCCCCTCTGGAAATGGCTCCTTTCTTAGTTTCATTTTTGGTTGTACAACCCAAAAGAATTCTTCTCACTCCTTGGCATTTGTCCCCTTCAGATATTTCATGCAATACGGAAGAGGAAGGAATCAAAATTCCATGACATTGAAGTTCATTGCCGATTCTGCTCACGTCAGTTGAAATCAGTCACTAAAACCTCAGCCTGCAGGACCCCGTGCTCTGTATTTTTCTAGTCTAGGTAATCGCGATGGCAGCAGGGGGAGGTAAGTAGAAGGAAAAATGAACTGATTTCATTAGGTGTTATAAGAGCTTATTAGAAAACAGGAGAAAAAAAAAGCAATAAAATTATGAAGACGGGAATTAAAACAAGTGATGAAATTCAGTCTCTGCTGACTGCAAGGGGACACTTCTCACGCATCCTTTCTTGGTTTGGAAGATGCCCAGGCATTGATAAACATTTTACGAGAATTCAACTCCACAGCAGCAAGCGGCGGCGAATACCAAGAGAAAATATACTCGTGTGCCAGGATCAGCCCAGCAGCTTCAGACACAGCGTTTAACCTGCTGCCTCACAGCCTCTGGGCCCTGTTTGGGTTTGTTGTCAGCCAGCAATCTGGATCTGCACTATACCTGGGTTATATTTAGGACAATTAAATTAATTGCTGGAACAGACAACCCTTTTTAGACCCAAGGCGCTTTGCCCCCCTTCTCGATACCGTAGGGCTGATGTAGTGATTCTGGGGCTTTGGCTTGGCAGTCAGAGCATGTGTGTGTTTTATGTAAGAAGCAGCAGTGGGGATGGATGCTGCTAGACAAATATTTGGTTAATTTTTGTAATTATTAGTAATAACAATACTCTGCTTTCTCAAGCACCTTTCATGTCTGGGTGCTTTTGAAACACTGGTAAAGCCAAGTGATGCAGCTCCATTCTAGGGGCTGTAATTAGCTTCAGCTCCACTTTGTAGATGTGGAAAGTGAGGTGGAGGGAGGTGAGAGGATTCGAGGTACAGCAGAGTTGGGGGGTGGTGCCCTGAGCAGCAGCCAGCAAGAGCTACCAGAAGTAAAGCTCAGGCCTCTGCCAGCCTCTTGGTTGACCTGTTTTGAGAGACAAGCTCATTTCACCCTGCTGTGCTGATATTTGGGCCAGCTCCTGAGCCAGGAGCCTGAACTTCTCCTCCTAGGAGCTTCAAATACACCCTGTCCAGGAGGATATCCCTTGGCCATCTGACCCACCTGCCCATGTCATCTCCCCTCATTGTCAGAAGTGATGGGACAAGATGATTTCATGTGGTTCCTCTTCCCAACCCTCCTCCTGACTGAGGTCCATGTGCCCATGAGATGAGAAGGGTCCCTCGGTGACCAAGAACAGGAGGGACCTGCTGGGCTTTGGAGCCTGGTCCCCACAGGCCTGGGTTACCACATCCTCTTTGGCCAGGTTGGCTTTTTGCCTCTGCCTGCCTGTCACAAGACCTCTTTCCCCACATGGTTAGGGTGTTTCTTCCAGTTTCCTCCCAATGCTGGTTCACAGACCATTGGTCCAGCGCCATGCTTAGGTCAGCTCCGTACCAGCTCTGCCCTTTTGCTCCAGTCTGCTCTAGATCTCTTGGTCATCTGTGTCCAGGCTGTGTTTGTCTTGGTAACAAATGACTAGCAAACTCAAGAATTTGGGATTATCCCTTAGGAAGCTCAGTATCTCATTCCAAAATTAACCCTCTGAGATTTCAAGGCATGGATTGTGAATTGCATGGGTTCTTCCAGTCTGCATCTTCCTCTAGTAGGGTCATGTCATGTTAGTCAAGATCTAGGCCTAAAACAAGGACGGGTAAATTCTAAATCTAATCTTGAGTAAAAAAAAGCAAACAAAACCAAACAACAAAGAGTTAATAATCTATCATTTCTATTCTATATTTTTCTCTTCTATTCCATTCTAATCCATCCCGAATGTGTCTTCCCAGCTAGTTCCCCGGCTTAGGCCCTCAGTGCCAGCACAGAGAATCTGCCTGTAATGCTGAAATTAGTTGAGCCCAGCAGATCGCCAAAGCTTCAACCCAACACAAGGATTCAATCACCTAAGTATATTTTCAGCTCCCGATTGACCTGGTGCTTCTCTCTGTTATTATCCGTGCACAATCTCTCCTGCTGTGCCAAGATTCCTGTGATCTTCATTTCTTGTCTCTGATGCCACAAAGTCAAGTGAATGTCTTCAAGGAAATCTCGGTAATAAAACCTATTTCCTCTTCCCAGCTGCAAAGAGAAAGCAGAGTAATAGTTTCTTTATCCATCAGGGACTGGTTAATGCCTCACTCCTCATCATCACCAAATGCAACTAATAAAGGAGTAAAGGAGATTTGGCAGTTTAATGCAGCAGCTAATTTTGTGGCTGCTGCCCTGCCAGAAAGTATTTTCACTTTTGGGTGATGCCAGAACAGCAGAGCTGATTAATTAGCCTTCTCTTGAGCAGGAAGAACTCAGCTAAGATGCCTGAAACCCCCAGACATCCCAGGCATTGGCCAACCTCGTTAGTAGCCGGTATTCCCAGTATCTCAAGGGTTCATCGGTCTGTCTGTCTGTCTGGGTAAGGCAAAAAGACGACAGTGCAGAGCTTTCCCTCGGGAGGGAGCAGGTCTGTTACACAGAGCAGGTCCAGCTCTGCGACAGAGAGCTGGCTGGGGAATGCTCAGAGCATGGAGGCGCTGGCACAGCACCACTGATGTGGTGGCGCACAGCGGGTCACTGCAGAGCCCAGCGCTGCCTTGGAGGGAGGCTGTGCACAGACTTCCAAGCCCCTCTGCAGATGTGGCTTTGGAGGCGTCAGTACTGCAGCTGTTGCACACAGGCGTGGAGTTCCATGGAAAATAGCGCTGAAGAATAGTAAATATGTTTGTGAAATGAGCAGAAATGCAAAACAAGGAAACTCCAGCCTTGACAGGGAGTCTCTCAGTAGAGATTCAGACTCGTTCATTGGCTGAGAACAATCAAATACACGGAAAACACAAGCCACACCTGAGGACACCCTCCAGAGCAGCATGTGCTCCACAGGACTGCAACAAGCAGAGCTCCATGCCAGCTAAGTAGTGCTCTCCATGGGTCATTAGCACCTTCTGAACTCTCTCTGTCCTTCCTTCATCTTCCCTGAGGTGTTTCAGAACAGCTTAAGCCAATGGACAGATTAATTAAACCTGAGGACAGGAACAGGCAGTTTCTGCAGGGCCTGGTCATTTTCCTTTCCATGTAATTTCTCAGAGGTTTTATGTTAATGCGCGTAAGAGTTTGCAAGACCAGGAACTCGATGAGTGTGTTCACAGACAGAGAAACTTCCTTCAAGCACATGAGATGTGTAGGATCCAGCAAAACAAGTCCTTTGTTCTTGGTTGGGTCCTCTTTAGATGCTGTAACAGTAATGATAATACTGAGAATTTCAGTCTGGAGACTTGGACAGCCTCTGCTGTCTGAGAGCTGGTGAGGGGATGAGTGGTTGCAAAGAGTGGGGGAGGTGGATGGTGTGGGGTGCTTCTCCTTTGGACCTGCCACTGGGCTATAGTGTGGACCTGGGCAGGTACATCAGTGACAGCATCTTCACAGGGGCTGGAGAACTGCTGCTTTTGTAACAGGTGCAGAAAAAGAGATGCTCCAAAGGGGCCCTTCAACTAAAGGAGCAGTCCATGGCAGGCTGGCTGTGCTCTGCAAATGCCTTTACAGACCACCCAGATGACTGCCTCAGGTGTGAGCACCAGCCTTGCAGGTGTTCATACACAACCCCTGTTTGAGTTTCTTCTGGCTATTCCTGCCTTCTTGGGCTTCAAGAGCATCACTTCTGCCAGCCCCATGTGTCAGGCTGAATTTCCCCGCTTGGTTGCCGTTCAGGGAGACAAAGGCTTGAACAGCTTGAACACATCCTTAGTAGGAAGCAAGGGCTTATACCCTGCTGCAGGTAAGTGAGGTTTAAACCAGTCTGTAAAGAAATCCTGTTGGAGGGAAGCATGGTGTGTCTTGGACAGAGACACAGAACAGCTGGTTATAGCTGAAACTTGTCATTTCTGCATGCCAGACTGCTAAACTGCAACACACACAGAGGACAGAGACCTTGATCCAGCCAAGGAGATAAGGTGTTTCAACTGGTACAAAGTAGCCAGTACAGAACTAGACTGAAAATGCAGAGAAAATTGAAATTATGAGGTGGTGGTGCAGCCTGGTGATGGGGCGCAGCCTTCAGGCACAGCATGCTGTGATGTGATATGGAGATAAGGGACAGCAAGAACACAGCCACAGAATGGAAGGAGTATCAGTTTTGCATTTTTCTGGAGTGAAACATTTTTCCTTGTAAAATGTGTAGTATTGATGTTTCCTTTGCGTTGTAACCAACTTCATGATGAGGGGAAATAAGTTGCTTTTCTTGCACAATCCAGCTTTGATATGGTTAATCCAGTTGGTGTAAGACCCTTGGGGTTGCTTATAGGATGCAATGACGACACTGTTAGGAAGGGTGGCCTTGGTGCTTCCCGGGCATGGTGGCGAGTGTGCACTATGAGAGTTTGCTGAAGCTGAAGGCTCCCCCTGGCCTTGCAGAGCAGCCCAGGTGAGGCTGCACAGGGCTGGGTGGGCTCGGCACAGACAGAGCTGCAAGGGGCCATGCGCTGGCTGCGTGCTTTGCAGAGACTGACAAATCAAC